GTTTTTCAGGGTAGTATGATATTCCATCAATTGCTGGGGTGGCCAGCTCCAGGTAATGGTCATTGATTTTCTACTACATGCAGTTGTGCATACAAAATCTCCAAAGCTTGCAATGATATATTCTCTTTTCAAAACCGTCTGGCAGTGATAATGATGGTATCATGAGGGAAGCTCTACTAGATTTCTATATAAGTCCAGACAAAGGAAGCCAAATTCATCAGGGGGAAATTTGTTGGGGCAAGAAGAAGTTGACACGAGTCAAGAATTGCCAGAATGCACGCTGGTGCAAACAAAGAGTGAAGACAACTAAATCGGGGATAGAAGAAATAGTGTTCCAGCATTCATCCCTGACCATTAAATCAAAATATAAACATCAATATAAACATACACAACACATGAAGTTACATCTTTACATCATATATTCATCATACATTGCAATAAAATATGGTTTTTCCATTCTATAAGGATGCTTTTCTAATTGCTTTTATAAAACTAATTTCATCTTTTTCAAGATTGTTTGTCTAAAAACATCAATATAGTCTTTCTTAAGACTGTGTTTCCTAAAATCCTCTTTTCATTTTCTCTCAAATTCCATTTTTCTCCACTCATGAGAACATCGTTAAATTTTCCCTTTCTCAAGATCATTTTCTCCTCTCACGAGGACAAATTCAAAAATGTCATTTCTATCAAAATAAATATCAAATCAAATAAATGAAATAAACTTCATCATGAAACATTCAAGATAATCATTCATAAATGCATCATTGATCTTTTAGGAAATAAAAGTTTAGTGATAATAAGATGTCTTCAACCTGAAGAACAATGCCATCCACAGATTTAACATCCTGAAGTGAGTGATCAGATCTGCTAAAGGTAGCTAGATCTCCTCAACATACAGGAGCAGACTGTCTGTCACCTTTGAGATTTTTTCTCTAAACAAAATTTCGTCTCACTTGAGACAGTTTTCCGCAAATTTTGAAATTTTTGAAACAAAATTGACCTCACTTGAGATTGTTTCTTTTAAAACGAACTTCATCTCTATTGATACAGTTTCCTTCAAAAAATAAATTTTTAAATTGTTTCACTTGAAACAATATTGCTGAAATTTGATATTGTTTTTTTTTGTCTCACTTGAAACTGATTTTTACAAATTTTGAAATTGTTTTATTTGAAACAAAATTGATCTCACTTGAGATTGTTTTCTTAAAAACAAATTTTGTCTCACTTGAGAAAGTTTCTCTTAAAAACAAATTTTGTCTCACTTGAGACAATCTTCCTTAAGACACGAACATTTGAGATTGTTTTTCTTAAAAAACAAATTTCATCTCACTTGAGACAGTTTCCCCTAGAAACACAAATTCTGAAATTGTTTCACTTGAAACAAAATTGATAACATTTGAGATTGTTTTTCTTAAAAACAAATTTCATCTCGCTTGAGATAGTTTTCGCTCAAAATACAAAATTTTGAAATTGTTTCACTTGAAACAAAATTGATAAACCTTTGAGATTGTGTCTCTCGAAACAAAGTTTCGTCTCGCTAGAGATAGTTTTTCTTGAAATAAAATTGATCTCACTTGAGATTGTTTTCTTAAAAACAAATTTTGTCTTGCTTGAGACAGTTTCTCTTGGAACAAAGTTTTGTTTCTCTTAAGACAGATTCTCTTTAAACATAAACAATTGAGATTTTTTCCCTTGAAACAAATTTTGTCTCTCTTAAGACATTTTCTCTTGAAACATAAACCTTTGAGATTGTTTCCCTTGAAGCAAATTTTATCTCGCTTGAGACTGTTTCTCTTGAAACATAAGCAATTGAGATTGTTTCCCTTGAAACAAATTGTCTCGCTTGAGACAGTTTCTCTTGAAACAAATTATCCCTAAAGATGGCTAGACGTCCTCATCATGTAGGAACAATGTCATCCACCGACCAAACTTCCTCATCACATAGGAACCATGTTGTCTCCCAAATTGTCCCTAAAGACGACTAGACGTTATCTTCATGTAGGAACAATGTCGTTCACCGACCAAATCTCCTCATCACGTAGGAGCAGTGTCATCCTTAGATAACTAGACTTCCTTATCATGTAGGAACTGTGTTGTCTCCAAAATCATCTCCAGATTGACCTGATTTCCTCAACGAGAAGGAACAACGTCATCGTCAACATACTATCAAATTTCAAAGCCAAAGAGAGAACCGGACAAAAACTCGTTGTTTTATTGTATTTGCCCTATTCTTGTTAACATAAGAATGTGCAAAGAGGGGCAACTGTAGATACCCATTTTTATTCAGGGTCTAACTTATTATTGTTATTTATTATTATTATTATTATTATTATTATTTTATTAATATTTATTTACATATTTTATAGGTCTGAAACTGAACCCAAAATACAAATCCAACACCCCAGACAACAAGTGACCCAACATCCAAGCCCACCTGCTTCGGGCCGCCCAAGATACTACCCGTTTACAAATAGCTGACTCAACTGGATCCCAGATTACAATGGATCAGAACCAGGCCCAAAACGCATGAGCCCAAACCCAGCTAGGGTTTTTACCCTTAGCCCTAGCATCCTCAATTTCCATCTGTTGGATCTGATGGAGATTCGTCGGTCTATAAATCCATCAATATTTAAAGTTTATCCATATATGTGTTAGCTACCGCCGCTTTCAGTGATAACCAGTTACCCCATTAATACGTGAACCTCACCTATCGTTGCTCTAGACGTATGACACACCGATAAGGATTATTACGCCACCGCCATCAGCAATTCATACTGAATAGTGACTGAACCTGGATCAATCAACCACCAAGTCAAAACCAAATCAAAATCCCAATAAAAATATCAAAATCCCACCAAATATGGGATTTCACCCAGGGAAATCATCTCCCTATCAACTAGCACACTATTTTCGTCCAGAATCATCCATAAATCGAGCATGTAAGATATTTTTGGGGCAAGGAGAATACCAAAAAATTGGGAGGCTCTTCGGTGGAACTAAGATAAAAATCAGAGAGGATTTAAACCAAAAGAGTGAGGGAGTTTTTGCAGTTAAAAAAAGAACAAAACCATTCGAACAAAATAAAAAGAAGAAGAGGAAAGGACTTAGCTTGCAAGTCGAACATCGAGAACTCCAAGGGTTGTCGTAACCGAAGAAATCAAAGTGTTTCTTCGTATATCTACAACGTTTGAACCATTTCCAAGTCAAACAAAGCTTGGATCCGTAACCAGGGTGAAGAGGAGCTTCGAACGATGTCTTTTTCTCTCTTCCCCAGTGTCGATGGATGGCAGTTATTGTCGGTCAACAGTGGCCGGTGCGGCGGAGATCCACTAGATTCTGGAAATGGGAGAGCTCTGGTTGAAGCTCTCAAGAACTCTCTCTCTCTCCTTTGGGCCAAGAGAAAATGAAGCAAATGGGGGAAGGGAATTTATTTTTCTGTGGGTTTTCATGTATATATAAAGCACCAAACGGCGTCGTTCTGAAGGGAAGGGTTTTTGAATTTCAGCGCTTGGGCTATTTACAAGAAAGGTCCTCCGTGGCTTGTAACCTTTCTATTCTCGTCATTAATGCAATTTTACCTTTATTTTACTTTGAGGTCATATTTTGTTTTATGTTATGATACCGTCCCTATTTACTTTTAAATGTTTTTATGGTCATATTTAAGCATGGGTCATGGTACCTTATTTTAATTATACTTAAGCTGTACATTTTCCTATTAGATCATTTTAGTCCTTATCTGGTTGAGTATCGCATTTCTATTAGTGTTTGACTTTGGCTATGGTATTTGCAATGGTTATGTTTTTGTCACTGATCTCATGTGTTATATAAATTTTCGTTGATGTTTGAATCTGGCCCTAAGGTTTACGAATCTATTGTTTTGGTCACTCTTTGGTATGGATGCATTTTGGTATAATCATAGTTTGTTCTTTCATATTTCTTGTTTAGTTTATTTTAATCCTTAATATTATTTATGGGTTATTTTCGTTTCCAACCTCTATTTTTTGATATTTTCGATTGTGGCTCTGGTTTGTTTGTAATCCTTGTTTGGTCCTTCAAGTTTTTGTTAGTCTTATTTTAGTCATTCATTTATGAATATACTTTACCTATCATATATATGTATTATATTAAATAAATATTATCCATGTTTGTTGTATATATATGTTGTTATATTTTTTAACTAACATTTATTTCCCTCATGTTTCTTTATCTATTGTATATTACTCAAATATTTTCAATAACTTTATTTGTAGAATGGACGTGGAAAGCACCACTTGATCGATGTGTTGTAATCCGATATGACGTCCAAACAGAATATGAACTTGAAAGCACAAGTCTTTTTATGAATTTATTAAAATAATAGTTTTATTATTCTTTATAATGTTTTATGTTATTTTTTTACTTTCATGTGGTTATTGATATAAATTTATATGTAATTCAAAGATAGAATATTCTTTACATATAAGAAATAGGTAAGAAAGATTTCCCGATGGAGGATTGCAAATCTCAAGATTTCTTGTTAAGTTAAAGAATTTTCTTTAATTAATCAATTCGGAGCAAATTAATTAAATTTTAATAAATGGATTATACTTTAAATATCGATGCAAATTCATGATTTCCGCCATTTACGATAATATATAAGTGACTAGGTATCAATTTTGAGTGATGTGGGGTGTTTATCCTTCCCCAAGCGTAACTGACTCCCGGGCCCTATTAAGTCGAGTTTTTGGTGAACGCAGACTAATTTTTGTCTTAAAAATGATTTTTCTTAAATTTATTTTAAAAGACGTTTTAGGTATTCGATCTACCTAACCCAAATGTCGATGACGACTCCAATTCAAAATAATTCAAAACCCCTATTTTTTTAAAATAAAGTCATAATTATTTTTTAAAACTTAATTTTTTTTATAAAAAAAATGGTTTTTCAAAACCCTTTCTAAATCAACAATTTTAAACGGGACGAGCCTCATCTACTGAGAGGTTCCATAAAGGGAGTAATAACTATGACCACTGCTTCCGGAGTTCGTGGCCGAAAGAAGTTATCATCCAGAGGACATCATAGATTTGTTGGGATCAGGCAGAGTCCATCGGGGAGATGGGTGGTTGATATTAAGGATTCTTTGCGAAAGGTTAGGCTTTGGCTCGGAACTTTTGATACTGCTGAGGACGCGGCTCGAGCATACGAGGACGCTGCTTGGGGGTTACGTTGGACTAATGCTCGCACCAACTTTGAGCTGCCTCCGTCGGCCTCAAAAACGTCGGCGAACCGCATCTCGCTGGATAAAATTGAGCCTTTCTCGTTTGAGGAAGTCTGTGGGACGGGGGACGATGCTGATGGATTTCTTGGCGCACTCAAGGCTAAGTTGCTTGATCGCAATGGGCTTAGAGTCCTATCACCAACTAGTTGTGCTTGTGCCGTTGTTTCTAACGCTTCACGAAACAACAATAGCATAAGAATAGAGTCAACTGTGGCTCCCCGAGTAATTGGGAACCCGAATCCGAACCTGAACTCTGTTCCAAATCCACTAAATCAGTGTTCTAACAAGCCTGAACTTGTCCTAAATCAGGATCATATCGGGGTTCAATGGCCTGAACCTTGTCAAAGCCAGATTGCTTCTGTGGCAGGTATGATGTGGTCCAATGAACCGTCAATTGAAGCACCATGGGGCACATAGATGAACCACGTCCCTCCCAATGGATTCTTTAATATCACCACTTGTACAACTGCTACCACTACATGGTCGCTTTCTGAAACGATGATGGGCTTGTCATATTCGGACCAGTTCCCGATCGAGTTGCAGATGAATGTGAACGGAAAAACAAACATGGTGAGCATGCGGATGTCTCAAATCAATGAAACAACGAAAGGTGTTTGGCCATCGGAACAGCAGTTTGAGCAGTGTGACAACAATGGTTGGAGTAATGCTAAAGGCTCTTGGGATCCTTACCTCTATATGTCCTCTGTGCTGGGTTGAGTGTTACCAATTCTTTCATTTTCCTTCTTTAATTCACAAACTAATTATTCGTTACTTTTAGCCCAAAGAATCCTAATTATAAGATGTAAATTGAATATTTTTCTCTAGTATTAGTACGCATTAATCATTTTGTTACTTCAGATTGTAACCTGTTGCTGCAAGTTTGTGGGATATAACCAGAGATTTAAATAGCGTTCGTGGCCGTGTTTTTGGTCGCATCGCGTTTATGTCATCACGATTACTGCGGGTGTCGCGGTCATGAATTATTTTAAATTTCGCACAACTTATCTTAAAACATAATAATTATAATTATAATTATAAGGAATCATTTTTAATGATTTTTAAAATGTTTTCTAAGCGAAAATCACACACACGCATATATATAGTTTAACCAAATAGAAGATTTTAAAAATCCGATAATATGATAAGATAATTAATTAATGATAACATTGTGAATACATTAAACTAAGGATTAGATTATAAATTCTAAAAAATGGGAGGGGTAGCAAATTAAAATATCCCTTAAAATTATATTTTAGAACTTACTTTAAAAAAATAAAAAGTGGAAAACGGCTAGAGTGTGTGTGGAACGGCCCAAACATGTAGTATGGTTTTTTTTAATTGAAAACTCAACATATACTTTAATAACTTAGAAGAAAAATCTAGAATATCTCTAATTCTTTTCCCGATGGAGTTCTATGTTGTTTCCCTTGTTTCTTCTTACCTTACTCTATTAAGGTTTTGAGATAGTCAACAACAACAAAAACTCCAAAACCATGACTTATTCTAGCCTACAAGAGAGACTCAAGCACCTAAAGTTTAGGATTCTAGCAATTTTCACTTTAATGAAACCCACAAAACATGTAAAGTTTCGTTCTCCTTTTTATTTTTCATTTTCTTTTTCTTTTTTGACTCTCAACATGCATGTATCAAAAACAAAATATTTAAAAAGAAAGGGGAAAAAATTATCTTTCTTAATTTTTTTTACAGTAACGGTAGAATAACGTTTATAGCGTTCCGTGATCGGCGCTTTTTACTATTATCCGTTAATTGCGGGCGCAATGAATCTCTATCAACGTGAATCCGGTACCCACTGCTAAATTCATCAATAACGATTTCAGATGGTGACGCTACCGCGAAATAATGGTCGCTATAACGTTTGTATCCCACTATTTGATGTGGCCCTTTTACAGTGATGTTTCCTTCATCAATAAATCCTTCATTTAGGACTCAAAATAATTAGGGACAACGACTACTTCATATTAAGGTATTTTAGGATATCTGATTTATTTGTATGTTAAGATAATATTTAAATTTAAATATTTTAATAAATTCTGTTATGGACCCACACTATCCTAACATATTTGAAATGAATGGATATATTAACCCTTTTATATTCATCATTCGAATATACTGTATTTTTTTAATCCATGTTCAAATCTACTTTTGCAAATAATGAACAGACCAAATTTGAATATTTATCTGATCTATTTGATAAATAATTTAATGGATAATTCTTTTACGTTTAACGACCACGATGAGCAACACTAACGATGAGCACCACTAACGATGAGTACCAATACTTTAATTTATAAAAATTTAAAATTCTTAAGGATTCAACATATAATTAAGAATTATTTAAAATAATTAAAAGTAAATTATTTAAAATAAAAAGTAAACTATACCGATGACACCTAACTATTGCCCCTTTTCATTTTGACTATCGTTTTTGAAATTTTATCAATCAAGTCACTCAACTATTTAAATGCATTTAATTAAGTCACTTTCAGTTAATATTTAACTGAGAAACTCATGTGACAGTTAAATAATTTGGTATGATTACACATTTGATCATTGTTACTTATATATTCTATCAATTTGGTCTGAATTTTAATAAATTAAAATAAAAAAGAATTGATTTTATTATATATACATGGAGTATTATTTGGCCATCAACCTCGTCTTTGTCATTATCAATTCAAGCACTATATCTTCCAACATATAAATATTGATTCAACAACAGATTTTATATTTATTTTAAGGTAATATGTTCATTCTGTAATTTATAAAATTATTAGAAATTATACTGTAACACCCTAGACCCGATTAGGCCTAAAGTGTCACATTAGGCTACCGAGGCAACCATTAATTTTCAAAGATGATTCATTTTGTTTTCAAATATAGTGAATGATATCATAAATAAAACATACATATTATTATAAAAATCAATTTACAAAATCAAAGTTCCATGACTCATAATTAAAAATCAAAATAATACAACTCAGAGTTTAATAAATTGAATACATAAGTAAGGTACTATGAATACATATGCCCACTAAGTTACGATTCAGTACTCTGAAGGTGATGCTGGAAGTCCTACTCTCATACTACTAACCTACCAACAGAAACATCCGAAGACTGAGCTTACAAAGCCCATCAGTATAATCGATAATCTAGAGCAGTATAAGAATTTCATAAACACAAGTATGTTGAAGACGTGGTTCTAAGCAGTAGGTACATTCATGATCTAGATCAAGTACTGCCTACTTAAGGCTTAATTGTCTTATCTCTGAAGTAGAGTTCTCTAACCCTAATGTCTGAATCTGCTATACATTATCTAAATGTGATATTGCTCATACTAACTATGTTGTGCATTATCTGAATGCAATATTGACTCTGATATGACTCATATGCGTTCCCCTCTATCCTACCAGATACTAATATATGATACACAACAACAACATAAATTTGTGGTAGGCATCGTGGTTCGGATGAGGGGCTGCATCTCAGAGCTCACGTACCCCCTTAGCCTACTGGTATACCCTCAGGTACACTAGGGTGATATATGGAATCTGAATTGAAAACGTACACCCGCTAACTTACTTTGTCGAGTCATGGGGCATTTGCGCCCAACTGGCAAAAAAAGTGCCTTGGCACTGACTGGTATATATTTGGACATACTGAAAACTAAGACAATCACCCTATTGCTAAAGTAACTCGGGTTTCCTAGCTATTTCCCGAGTGTCACGCAAAGGCTATTTTTATGACATCCTAATTGTTACTGCTTCTAGTTGTTACTGCTTCTAGTTGTTACTGATAGTGTTTTTAATTGTTGTTGTTTCTGATTCTAGTTGATATCTCGCTCTTTCTCTCATCTAAAATGTTATGCAATGGTTAATTAATTTGTTATTTCTAATTATCTATACTTTTTGGTTATTTGCTACTTAAGGGTATCTAGTAATTCTTTACTCGATTTCGAGACTTCATGACGATTTTTGTCGTTACTTGTTTATTAGATGTGATTCTAATTGCCCCAATATCTTATCCGGGTTCACTTCTAAGTGTGATGCTCTATTCGCTAATCCTACGATGTCCCTTAATTTGCCCTCGAATAAAAGGAATAATTGTGAGTCTAACACTCTCGATTATTTCTACGGTATACGACATTGTTGTTTCATAATCTGATTTCTTGGTCATACCTCTCAACGGTACACCCTAAAAATTAATCTCCCATATATAATTATTTATTATGTGCTACCTGAAGATATTTGGACACTTTATGCCTGCTATGGTTAGTCTGGTTGTGACCCATTCTTATGATTGTCTCTGGGCCCCTTTGGCCATTTTCGTCCTTCACAGACTATGTTTTATCCTTACAGACTATACCTATCTCTTACAAACCTTAATCGGGTCGAATTTGATCATCTGAAGTAGGTAGTATCGGTACTATATATGTAGTATAGATACTCTAGGGTCAAGTATTGATACCTCTATGGGTATCGATACCAAAAATACATTCTACTGTAAAATTGATGCCTTAGTATCGATACTGCAAGGACAGTATCGATACTCCCCTTGGCAGTATCGATACTCACCTCTGAAATCCCTAATTTTAGCCCTAATTTAACTAGTATTGATATTGTTCATCCTAATATAGATACTCAAACCCTAAACCTAATATTTTAGGCTCACAAAAACACCCAAAATCATCCTAGATGGCTTGAGTGACTCTTAAATTGATTTTGAAGTTCTAGTAAGTATTTATGATCTTTAGGTGTCATAAAACACTTCCTTAACACCTAATCGTGATTTAATCTTGAAATCAAGTTTAAACCCTAATATGCTCAACTATACAAATCTTAGCAAATTCTTGAAATTTATGGAAACTTAATACTCCAAAGGATTAGGAATACACTACCTTGATGATTGAATCTTGAAATGAGGTTCCTTGCTTAGCCACACACCTTCTATTTTTTATTTGGATAGAAACCCATAACTTTTTCTTCCAACCAAAGAACCCAAGTTTTGATTCATTAAAAAATACTGCTAGGGGAAATAAGAACAAATTTGAAGCTTTAAATTTGGATCAAGTTCTTACCTAGCTAAGAAATTTAGAGAGGAAAATGAAATGAGGATAGAGAAAGTGAAGAGAAGGAAATAGGAGAAGATATAAAAGTCTTCATCTTTTAAAAATGAGCTAATTGCATTGCTAGTCCCTCTTCATCTTCCTACTATGCAAAAATCTCCTTTTATGGCTAATTGGGCCCAAGACCAACCCAATTAAGCCCAAGACCACACAATTAAGCCCAACAACTTGGATTATAAATTATTGGAATCCACTTGTCTCTCGGGAAAACCTGAAACAACTATCACATAATTTGGGGTGTTACATATACCGTCACAAAACAATGAATTATGAT